CGCTGGTGTGCCAGGTGACCGCCTGCGGGCGGGTGGGACCGAGGGCTGCGGGCGCCTGGTGCTCAAGCCTTCTGGGGTGCTCAAGCCTTCTGGGGTGCTGATTTTACGCGGTAGAGCCCCCTTTTAAGAAGGTTACTTGTGATGGAGAGGGGCATGGATGCCCTGAACCTGGAGGATTAGTAAATAGGTATTAATAGGACCGCCAGATGCTTTTAGTTTTTTAAGCTGCTTATGTCTTCTTTGCAAACAATCTTTTAAAAAGTTGGTCACCCCACTAAAACCAAAACGTGAGAGTGAGGCAGAGTGGCGAAGAATTGAACATAATGTTTTTAATTTACATACGTGAAACTTACTTGAAAACCCTAAATTTAACTATCCATCATAAAATTGGTGCACAGTAGAGGCTTATGAGTTACTAGGAGCCCAATGCACGAAATACGTGAACGGGAGGGTGTGGGGGGTCCCTCAGCCTGGCCTGCACCCTTGCAATCGGGGACCCCTCGCGCACTGCGGGATGGGGGCTATCCTGGCAGGGCATCCCTCTGGCAATCCCAGACCACTGGCTCCTAACTGCTGGCCTGCCTGCCTGCCTGCCTGCCTGCCTGATCGTCCCTAACCATTCTGCCTGCCTGTCTGATCGCCCTAACCACTCTGCCTGCCTGATTGCCCCTTACTGCTCACCTGCCTGCCTGATGGGCCCAAACGACCCCTGCCTCAGCCCCTGCTGCTGCAGCTTGGAATGACATTCAGAAGGTCTTAGGCTGTCTGGTCTAATTAGCATATTATGCTTTTATTATTATAGATTTCCTAAACCAAAATTCTTTGTGTCTTTCAGGAAAGTACAAAATTTAAGAATGTTTGGACTACTCATTCCAAGTCACCTATAGCCTATGAAAGAGGAAGAATATATTTTGATAATTATCGGTGCTGTGTCAGCAGGTATCTTTTGGGGGGAAATTTTTTGCTGTAATCCACCTCACTGTTGATCTTAACAATTTTATAGAACCACATGCCTGCATTAGAACATAGTGAAATAGGAGAATGGAAAAATGTGTCCAAAACAGGTGGTAATATGGGTGTAATTTGAAAATCTTGTTAAATCTGAAGTTGCAGGTTTCATCTTTGTAATTACCATTTAAAGTGAAATTACTTTGTAGTGCAGGCAAAATGATAAATTGCTCTCAAAGTACTGTGTAGTGTTTTATTCTGCTTAAAAGATATCAGAGTCAAGAGAGCCAGGTACCTAATAATTCGATGTTGCTTTAGAGGAGATTGTCTATGTTTTGTTGTGGAAGTACTTGCCTCTTTGTTTTAGAGGAAATTTTCAAATTTGCTCAATTAGAGAATAGTATAGTACTCATTACCTAGATTCAAAAGCTATTAATGATTTTGCCACATTTGCTTTATCTCTTTGCTAAGAATTTTAAAGCATTTCTAAACATTGTGCTATATTAAGTTTGCTTCTCTAAAAACTATGGGCATTTTCTTTTTTAAATTGCTTTATTAAAGTATAATTCACATACCATACAATTTACCTGGTTAAAATATGCAGTTCAATGATTTTTGGCTCATTGAAATTCATACTTAATGAATAGGAACATGATGAACCATTGGTGGTTCATAGAGGCAACCCTCACTGCAGTTAATTTTAGAACATTTTCATTACCTCAAAAAGAAACTGTAGAGGAAGGAGAGAATAGCCCAGATCCCCAACCCCAAGCTGGTCGGAGGACCTGGCGGGAAGCATGCACCTGCCCCTACTGTAAAGATAGTGAAGGAAGGGGCTCTGGGGATCCTGGCAAAAAGAAACAGCACATTTGCCACATTCAAGGCTGTGGCAAAGTATATGGCAAGGCTGCCACTTCTTCGGCCCTTATTACCACCAATATGGTAGCTATGAAGGCCATCTGTCCAGAGGGTATTGCCCGTCTTGCCAACAGTGGCATCAATGTCATGCAGGTGGTAGATCTTCAGTCCATTAATATCAGTGGCAATGGCTTCTGAGATCAGGCACCCAGAGCCAGAGACATATGGGCTATACCCATTAACCCTGGGATGCAAGGTAGCATGGGTCCAAGAGACATGTGGGAGAGAGAGCCATGAGGCATTAAAATGCATGGTGGTGGGAAGAATTGGGGGAGGGGATACAAGAGAAGAGATGGGGTCCTGGCACTCACCTATATCATCAGTACCTCCTTGAAGTGGGAAACAGTGAAAATTCTGTGGGTGCCACCCTTTGATGAGCATTTGTTTGACCCCAGTTTCTTACATTTCTTACCCCAATCTCCCTGTCCTGTGTTTCCCTTCTCAACTCCCTCATGATGGATTTCCCCCCTTTCCTAAAGCCATCATGCCTTGATAAATATATATGATCATTGAAATAAAAAAAAAAGAAAGAAACTGTATATTTTGTAGCGATCACTCCAATGCCTCCATCACCCTCAGCTCTAAGTAACTGCTAGTCTACTTTCTGTTTTTATAGATTCACCTATTTCCTATACATTGAATCACATGTGTTCTTTTGGCTTCTTAGTAGAATCACATGGCTTCTTAGTAGATTACCAGTTTATTATCAAAGGAACAGCCAGATGGAAGCAATGCCTAGGACAAGGTATGTGGGAAGGGGCATGGAGCTTCCGTGCTCCCTGCATCTCCACATGTTCGCCAGCCCAGAAGCTCCTCGCCTTTTCTCATAGATACAGGGGTGGGCAACAGTACACTTACAGTTACGAGTATGCGAAACAGTGTTTGTTTGTATTATTTGTTAATTATTGTATTATTTTCCGTACGAGCAACTGTAAACCTACTTTTGCCCCCTCCCTGCACACATAATGCTGTATATTTCCCTCTAGGCATTGTTTGTGGTGTATCCACAAATGCCAATATTCTGTGCATTTGTTTTAATTTAGTTCAAAAGCTTTTAAAATTTCTCTTGAGATTTCTTCTTTTACTCATGTTAATTAGTAGTGTATGTAATGTTCAGATATTTGGGGATTTTCCGGCTATATTTCTGTTACTGATTTTAAATTAATTCCACTGTGGCCTGAGAGCATACTTTGTACCATTTTCTAGTCTTTTAAATTTGTGGAGATGTATTTTATGGCCCAGATTGTGTCTATCTTGGTGAATTTTTTCATGTGACCTTGAGAAGAATGTGTATTCTGCTGTTGTTGGGTAAAGTATTCTGTACATGTCAATTAGATACAGTTGATTGATGGTACTGTTCAGTTCAAGTATATTGTTACTGACTTTCTGCCTGCTGGACTTGTTAGTTACTGACAGAGGTTGTATTGAAATGTCCAACTATAATAGTGGATTTGTTTGTTTCTCCTTTTGTCCTATCAGTTTTTGTCTCTCATATTTTGATACTCTGTTGTTAGATGATACATATTAAGGATTTTTATGTCTTGGGAAAGTAACTGCTTTACCATTATATAATGCCAGTCTTTATCCCTAATAATTTTTGTTGTTGAAGTTAGCCTTGTCTGCAATTAATATAGCTACACAGTATGATGTATCTTTCTCTGTCCTTTTACTTTTACTCTATCTGTATCTTTGCATTCAAAGTAGGTTTTTTTGTAGCCAATATATATTTGGGTCTTTTTTTTTTTTATTAATCCATTCGGACAGCCTCTGTCTTTCAGTAGGTGCATTTAGACGATTTACATTTACAGGGATTATGGATACAGTTGGTTTAATACTTAACCATATTAGTAACTATTTTCTAGTCCTTGCCTTTGTTCCTTATTCCTTTTTTGTCTTTTATTATTTTTATGTTTCCTCTGGTTTTAATTGAGCATTTTACTAGTATGTGATTCATTTTCCTTCCACTCAGCATATCAATTATACTTCTTTTTAAACATTTTTAGTGGTTGCCTTATAACTTGCAATATACATTACAACTAATCTAAATTTCTTTCATGTAACACTGTATCTCTTCATAGGTAATGCAGACACCTTATAATAGAGTATTTCTAATTCTTCCCTACTGCCTTTTATAATATTGCTGTCATCCAGTTTACTTGTCCAAAAGTTATAATCTATTATTGACAAGTTTTTATCTGTTATTAAGAATAAGAAGAATAAAGGATTTTGTTTTATCTTCATTTCTTTCTTTCTAACACTTTTCCTTTCTCAATGTAGGTCTGAGTTTCTAACCCATATCATTTTTCTTCTCTCTGAAGAACTTATTTGAAAATTTCTTGTAAGGTCTGCTGGCAGCAGATTCCTCAATTTTTGTTTGTCTGAGAAATTCGTATTTTTCCTAGACTTTTGAAGGATAATTTCTTGGGATACAGAATTTTTGGTTGGTGGATTTTTTTCTTTTATTACTTAAAGTACTAGTATTTCACTCCATTCTCTACTTGTTTGCATGGTTTCTAAAAGAGAAATCTAATGTAATTCTTATCATAAGTAAGGCGCTTCCCCCCCGCAACCCCACTCCCACCCAGCTTCTTTTAAGACGTTCTCCTGTTTTTTATTTTCTACAGTTAGTATATGATACCTAAGTATAGATTTTTTGGGATATTTATTATTCTTGTTGTTCTGTAAGCTTCCTGAATTTGTGGTTCTGTATCTAACATTAATTTTGCAAAATTCTCAGCCATTATTATTTCAAGTGTTTCTTCTGTTTTGTTTTCTCTTTGTTCTCCTCCTGGCATAATGTACATTATGTGTACATTACATTTTTTCTAGTTGTCCCATAGTTATTGGATATTCTGTGCTGTGGGGTTTTTTTGTTTTGTTTTTCTTTTTTTCTAGTTTGGGAAGTTCTGCTTCTCTCTCTCTCTCTCTCTCTCTCTCTCTCTCTCTCTCTCTAACTTTCTAGTTTGGGAAGTTTCTGTTGACATATCTTCCAGCTCAGTGATTCTTTCTTTGGCTGATGAGCCCACCCAAGACATTCTTCATTTGTGTTAGGGTGCTTTTGATTTCTGGCATTTCCTTTTGATTTTTTCTTAGGCTTTTCTTTTTAATCTCTGCTTAAGTACCCATCTGTTCTTGCATGTTGTCCACTTCTTCCATTAGAGCCTTTAGCATATTAATCATATTTAAGTTCCCAATCTAATTCCAAATTCTACATTACCAATAAGTTCTCAATCTAAATTTCAATATCTTTGCCATATCTGAGTCTGGTTCTGATACTTACTGGATCTCTTCAAATTTTATATTTTGCATTTTAGTATGCCTTGTAATTTTTGTTGAAAGTTGTGTTTGATATATTAGGTAAAAGGAATTGTGGCAAATAGGTCTTTAGAGTGAGGTTTGAGTTAGGCTATGTTTTTTGTTTGCTGTAGCTGTAGGTGTCAGAGGCTACAATTTCTTCTAGTGCCCTTGTTTCTTTCTCCCCAGTACTGACCTCGGCAGCTTGCTCCTGCGTTTTGCTCCCAGTAAGCAAAACCAGTGTTGGAAGCTGCAGTTTGCCCTGCAACCTCAATTGTTTGATGGATACAAGAGTCGTTGATTTTCAGTTTGTTCATTTTCTTGTGGTGAGGACAGGTGGGATTACTTCCAAGCTCTTTACATGTTGGACCAGACTGGAAGTTAGGATGATTTTTAGGTGGTGTTTTAAATTTGTTCTGACTCAGGAGAGCTCCTCCCAGCAATCCTTCTGGTTCTCTATGGCAAGTTAGCCTGCTTGCAGTTTAGCCTGGATGGCCAGTGAACCTACCAACCTCTTCCCATTTGCCTTTCATCACAATCTTCAGTGGGTTTTGAGAATGCGCTTAGGCTAGAACTTTTCCAGACTGTTGCAGACGGGCAGCTATCTGCTTCATGACTGTTTCTTCCCCGAGGCAAAATCTTTGAGTCAAGGCTCTGGTGCTGCTGGGAGTGGGGTGGGGTCAATGGAACCCTCACTCTGAGTGATGACTACTCTACAGCTGAGCACTTGAGGTTGGTGAAGGCATTAGCCTCAGGTCTTCTTACTTTCTCCGTGTGGAACCAGGCTTTACGAGATGGGATAAGACAAATCTAGGCTCCAATGTTCTTAGACATGCCATGCACACGGTAGAACCTCTAACCCAAGGGTAGGGGCTAGGCAGAAGAAGGGAACCCCACCTCTTGACTGTACTCATTCAGGACTGAGTCCCAGACACAAGCAGCCGGGGCAGGAAATAAATGCTGCCCCTCAGGGAGGTAGCCCTCTGGGAGCTGGGGTAGAGGGAGCCAGTGCTCTTGGCTCTGTCAGTCTGGAGTGGAGTGTTTGTCTTACTGAGCTGAGAATAACAGGGAGGGAGCACATCCCAGTTCAGTTACCACAAGCTCATTCTTCTTACTGACTTCTAGTAGGTTTTCTTGACTAAATATTTCTTCATTTGCTGTATACCCCCAGGACCATTTCCAGAGACTTTAAAATAGTTGTCCTTTTATAATTTCCACCAGTTTTCCTGGGGAGCACACCCACAGAGCTCCTCATGTTATCATGCTGCCAGTGGCAATCTGGACATTTTCTTGTATGATCATAATGTCATCAGACCTATCAAAATGAGCAGTAATTCTTCAGTTTCATTTAATGCCTTTTTAAAAAATAACTTTCCCAATTTAGAGGTATCTGTTTTAATTTTTAAAGAAAATCAGTGAAGCCCGGCCGGTGTGGCTCAGTGGTTGAGCATTGGCCTATGAACTAGGAAGGTCACAGTTCGATTCCCAGTCAGGGCACGTGCCCAGGCTGCAGGCTCCATCCCCAGTGGGGCATGCAGGAGGCAGCCGATCAATGGTTCTCTCTCATCATTGATATTTCTATCTCTCTCTCTCCCTCTGCCTTCCTCTCTGAAATCAATAAAAATGTATTTAAAAAAAAGAAGAAAATCAGTGGAAATGGCATTGTTGGTGAATAGTATTGAAGTTCTTTAGTATGGCATTCAGGGGTGTTTTCCCCATAGGTTAGGATCAAATATGAGGTTGCCTTCATTCCTGTGAAAGTCTCTTTTTGTTAATATTCACCCAAGGATATATATTTTCCCCACATTGATTTTTAGAGGGACAGTGGAAGGAAGGAATAGAGACAGAGAGAAATGTTGATGTGAGAGAGACACATGGATTGGTTGCCTCCCACACGTGCCCCCACCTGGGGCTAGGGATTGAACCTGCAACCAAGGTATGAGCCCTTGACTGGAATCGAACCCTGGACTCTTCAGTCTGTGGGCTGACACTCTGACCACTGAGCCAACCAGCTAGGGCAAATTCTCTTTGATTTGGGAAAACATCAAAGGTGAATAAAATTGTTACCCTCAAAATTGTGTCTAAATAGTAGTTTAATTTTAAAGTTCATCAGTTAAAAAAATGAAAACATCTACGAGCACATTTCAGTAGTAATCAGAAATATAAATTAAAAGCAAGAGACTATTTTTTACATTAAAAAATGTAGTGTTTAATATTGGCAGAAGTATAAACTTATCCAACCTTTCTGAAAGGCATTTTGGGAATAAACAAACCTTAAAGGGTATTTCCTTTTTTAATCCACTAATTTTTATTCTAAAATAATTGGACTCTATCTAATTAATTTTCATTAAAAAATATTAGAGGAACAAATATGAAGATCATAGAATTCAACCAAGATATTCATAGTAAATGTTCACGATTCTATTCTGGGAAATAACCTGCAGATAGGTAAATGTATGTAAAGTAAAAGTAAAGGGAAATGAACCAAAATGTTAATAGTGGTTATTTTTTATATTTTTACAGTATAAATCTATTTAAATTTTATTATTTTTTAAAGATTTTTTCTATGACTATGTATTATGAATTTTATAATCAGAAAAAATATTAACACATAATTAAGAGGAGGAAAGCAAACTAGTAAGTTTCATTTTGGTAGTCTAAATCTCTGAATAGAAAAAACAATTACTCAAACCTGAGCAAACACTGTCTCAGTTATTAAGATGAGTTATCATTAATCATTTATTTTTCTTTTTTCCCAGTGTTGCATCAGAGCCAAGAAAACTTTATGAAATGCCAAAATGCTCCAAATCAGAAAAAATAGAGGATGCTTTATTATGGGAATGCCCAGTGGTAAGATTTGTTTTTAGGCATTTGTTTTTAAAGCAATTTTAGCCTAGAACTAATTGTTATTAATATGTTGTACAAGGGAATAAAACTTAAATATTATAGTGATTCCTGAATCTTGAAAGGAATTAAGAGAACTTACCTTTTGATTATTATTTTTCCTCATGAAATAGTATTAAAAATATATTTTTAAAATTTGATACTATTTATAAATCTTGAAAATTAAAAAAAATTATGACTCATTAAAAGTTCCATAAGAAATAAAAATTAGTTTGTGGTTATTCTTAGTGTTTAAGAAATCATTTTACTTACTATACTGAAACAAAATATTTTGTTACAGGTTATATTACATGGTATGGGTAATAGTTATGTTACATGACTGTTTGAAAGGGGATTCTTATGAGTTTCCTCTAGGAATCTTGTTAGGAAAATCATAAGATAAAAATAAAAAACAATGAGGCCCTGGCCAAGTAGTTCAGTTGGTTAGAGCATCATTCCAATACACCAAGGTTGAGGTTTCAATCCTGGGTCAGAGTATATACAAGAATAAACCAATGAATGCATAAGTAAGTTGAGCAACAAATTGATATTTCTCTTATCTCTCCCTTCCTCTCCCATCTCCCCAAGGCCTCCGCCCCTCCCCTGGCTGGCCCCACCCCCAATCAGACCCCCACCCCAATTGGGGGTGGGGCAGCCTGCCAACCTCTCATGTCCCCGCCCCCTGGCCAGCCCTGATGCCGATTGGCCAACTCCCTGCAACCTCTCCCCCCTAACCCCCGGCAAGCCCCACCCCCAATCACCCCCCCACACACACTCTGATTGGGGTGGTCCAGCGGGACCCCACTAGTGCATGAATTCTTGCACCAGGCCTCTAGTAATAATATAAGCTTATTCCATTAGACCAGCATTGCCCTAGTGTGTATTTTTCAAAATACTGTTTTCATTAGATGTTAGTATCTTATAGTTGCTAAAGGAGTTTGGAGGAAATGGGTTGTAGACAAGTTTGGGGTATTCTGAGTTTAAAAGGTTAAACAAATTTATAGAATTACTTCTCAGAGCCTTTAATAGTAATAATACTTACAATAATACTAATGTACATAGTGACAATCAAGCTATTTTTCCAAACTATTGATCATAAAACTTCTTTTTTTAGGTATATTTCTTTTTTTTTTTTCTTTTTGTTAATCCTCACCTGAGGATATTTTTCCATTGATTTTTAGGGAGAGTGGAAGAGAGAGGGAAAGACAGAGAAATATGGATGTGAGAGAAACACATTGATTGGTTGCCTCCTGCATGTACCCTGACCAGGCCTAGGCCGGGGAGGAGCTTGCAACCGAGGTATGTGCCCTTGAGTGGAATTGAACCTGGGACCCTTCAGTCCGCAGGCTGACGCTCTATCCACTGAGCCAAAGCGGTTAGGGCCCATCAAAATTACTTAAAAAACAAAACAATACACTGTTTTTACATAGAATTGTAGTTTTCTGTAGCCTTCTTTTTTTTTCCTTTTCTTTTTTCCTGGACACGTTTTTTCTGTTCCCAAAAGGCTCCATTTTAAAAATCAGAAAGCTTTAAATCTGCTTTCTTCCCCAACTCCCTATTGAAACCTAAAAATAACTGCTGTGCCCCAACATAGAAAGCCTTTTGCATCCATTTTCATTGGTGCAGGGAGGATGAGGACAAATTTCTTAATTGAGAAAAGTTTTGAAGACACTAGTACAAAGCACCTAAAAATTTAGAGCAGTCCTGTAAAAATAGAGTTTCAGGTAACTTAATTCCTAGCGTCACTTCTTGTTAAACATTTTGTTCTCGTTTGAAGTGAAGATTTTCCATTAAGAAAAATTAAGAAACATATTGCATTGTTTTTAACATACTGATGCGAAACTATATTTAAATTAGCACCATTCTTTTCTGAGACGATGTGTGGAATATAACTTTTGGTTTAGGAAAATAGCTCAAACCTATTATATATACTCTTTCATATTCTTTTTTTAATAGGCAAGGTATAAATACTACATTTTTTAAAAAATACATTTTATTGATTTTTTACAGAGAAGAAGGGAGAGGGATAGAGAGTTAGAAATATCGATGAGAGAGAAACATCGATCAGCTGCCTTCTGCACGCCCCCCAGTGGGGATGTGCCCGCAACCAAGGTACATGCCCTTGACCAGAATCGAACCTGGGACCCTTGAGTTCGCAGGCCGATGCTCTATCCACTGAGCCAAACTGGTTCGGCTAAATACTACATTTTTAAAAACTTTAAAATCTCCATTAGATGATACTTCTATAACATACCATATAATAAAAAATTGATTTTAAAGTATCTCGTATTTCTTTTTCTAACATTTGAAAGGGAAGACAAACTTTTGAGAGCATGTATAAAATAACTATGCCATCATTTTCTTCTGTTCACTTACTGCCTAAGCAAATACTAGATTAATTTTAACTTCCTTATTTGTAACTCTCCTCTTAGAGCTTCCTTTTTATTCCACAAATCAAATAGAACCTTTTGCTTTCTTTGTCTTCCTGTCTTAGACTTCCACCTGGTGGTAGCTCTGCAGTGGCAGGTGCACCAGGCAGCTATCCTCTTCCTTGTGGGGGTGTAATTCCTTGGTGACATAGGTTATCTTTAAACCAGGTCCATCTTCTGTTCTCATTGGGCTGCCTTGATTCTGGATTATAACTTTTCATCCTGAGCTAGAATGGAGCCACAGTGAATAATGGGATAATTTGCCCTTTTGACTTCTGTCAAAAGGAAAACAAGTCTTAGAAATATCTATTCTAAGGATGACTCTTAATTGCTATGCTATTCTACATGGTCTTAAGAACTTGTTATTGTTGTTATCATCCTTATCACAGCAGCAGCATTAGTAATACTCCTACTACTATTGTAATGATTGGTGAACATTTGTTGAATACTTAATGATAAATAATAATAAGTCATACATTATTTCACGTAGTGTTTTAGTGCTTATATGAATAGACTCAATAAGTTAATCATGAAAATAATTACCCACAAACTGTATTCCTGAAACCTATGTAATTTTATTAACCAATGTCACCCCAGTAAATGTGATTTTAAAAAAACCCACAAAAAATAAAAAAGAAAGGGAAACAATTACCCACAACCTTATTTTTCTTTGTCTTAATTCTTTATTTGTGTATTTGAGCATTTACTATTATTTCTTTGATATACTTATTTGACTATTTCTTTAGTGATTAGCTATTTTCTTTGGGCATTGAGTACTGCAGATTGTTCATGGCCAAGTAGTTTTACTTTTCCATCTCATTTTTTTAGGGGGAAATGCTGCCCAATCCATCAGATTATAGATCCTCACTCATAGCACTGACAGCCCATAACTGGCTACTCCGTATATCAGCAAGTACGGGAAGAGTCCTTGAGAAAATATATCTTGCTTCGTATTGCAAATTCAGGTATTATTTGTGACTTTATTATTCAATATTTTATTATAAAAATTTGAAACTTGTGGCCCAGGAAACTCAAAGCAAGTTTTGTGTGTGTGTGCACACACGCATGTGTGTGTGTTTTAGTTTTCCATTGCATATCTGGATCTGAATTTATAAATCTATTCTTTTTTTCTCTCCTCATGACTAAATTTGAAGTTCTGAGGATAGAGACCTTTTATAATGTTTTTTTTGTATTCTTATCAGTAGCTAACCTGTAGTAGTTGGCAGATAAACTTTAAAAAAGTCTTGTGTTTTCCACCTATAATAATAAAAGCGTAATACAGTGGGACCTTGACTTACGGGTGTCCCGACTAACGAGTTTTTCAAGATACGAGCCGTCTCTTGGCCAATTTTTTGCTTTGAGTTGCGAGCTAAAATTCGGGTTACGAGCCAGCTTCACATACCCCACCGCTAGTTAGCGCAGCGAACGTCACAGTGAACACCACAACGTCAGCCCAGCATCACGTGTCTCACTCGCTCACTTTTTGATTTGACATACGAGTAATTTGAGTTACAAGCTCCGTCACTGGACGGTAAGTCAAGGCCCCACTGTATGCTAATTAGACCAGACGACCTCCTGATGACCTTCTGTAGGAAGTCAGTGCTGCTGCAAGGGCCGAGCCCCTTGCACAAGTTTCATGCAACGGGCCTCTAGTCTACAAATAGATTCTATATGTAAGATGCACTTTATGGTAGATTTTCCTGAAGGCTAGTCTGTTTCAGTTAAATTACCCATCTAGTACAATCTAAGAACTATTACTTTAACAACTAGTTTTATAAATTAGACGTAAATTTTTAAAGTATGTGCATTCAAAATGTGAAAGTAATATTTTTTATACTTTATATAAAATGGTTATTTTGTTTTCTAAGTTTTGAGTACTGTAAGAGCAAACAATTTTCATCAAAACTCAGAAGGATTAAAGTTACATGTTTTATAAGAATATTTTCATATAAGGATTGGGAGGGAATTCTTTTAGCTATCTATTTGTTTTTAAAATAAATTGCTTTGCTTTTATAATTTAAATAATTAAAAAACTTGACATATGACTGGCTGGTGTGGATCAGTGGGTCAACCCATGAACCAAGAGGTCACCAGTTCGATTCCCAGTCAGGGCACATGCCTGGGTTGCAGGCTTAATCCCAAGTAAGGGGGGCGGGGGAGTGGGGAGCAGGAGGCAGCTGATCGATGATGTTTCTCTCATTGATATTTCTCTCTATATATCCCACTCCCTTCCTCTCTTTTTAAAAATCAATAAAAACAGCCCAGACAGCATGGCTCAGTGATTGAACGTCGACCTATGAATCAGGAGGTCACGGTTCAATTCCCTGTCAGGGCACATGCTCAGGTTGCAGGCTTGATCCCCAGTGTGGGGTGTGCAGGAGGCAGACGATCAATGATTCTCTCTCATCATTGATGTTCCTATCTCTCTCTCATTTCTCTCTCTCTCTCCCTTTCCCTTCCTCTCTAAAATCAATAAAAATATATTTTAAAAAATAAAATAAAAATCAATAAAACATTCTTTAAAAATTTGACATAAGATATATATTATATTTTATTTAAGTATAAGGAAGCCTCCCCCCACCCCAAATGAATAAACTTTGCTTCATTCTTTTAAAAGATACTTGAGCTGGGACACTCCTCAAGAAGTCATTGCTGTCAAGTCAGCTCAGAACAAAGGCTCAGCGCTGGCCCGGCAGGTAGACGCCTTCAAACATTCCATAAGATGAAGAGTTTGTTTTTCCATGGGGATTTGTCTGCTGATTTCTCATAAAAAAACTAAGGATCTTTGTTTTCTGAACCATGCTATACAAGTTGTTTACCACAAATTTCAGAAATTCCCTTTAAACCACGGTGGGCTAGTACGGACTATTTTACATTCCATGGTAGAAAGGAATTGACTGGATCTTGCTCTTCAGAGTAAGGAAGCCATCCTCTTCAAGCAGAGAAATCACTCAAGCTTTTATTGTCGATACTCTTTTCTCATTTCATTACGGTAGATATGTCAGAGTAACACTGCTTTTAAATGATGTAACCATGAGAACCATGTGTCTTCCAATTAGGCGCTTCATTGTTTGAATTCCAATTTACAATATTAATTGATAATATTACATTAAAATATAATGTATTCATTTATTTTATATTAACACAAATGTATAATTTATAATATAGGGATATATTATACAATATGTAATATGTGTTTTGTTTTACAGTATATAAAATGTTTTTGTATAGAATATAAACTATATTTTGTTGCTAAGAAATGTTTAGTTTTATATTTACTTTTATAAGTTTTGTGTATATGTGCATATGTGTGACTGAAGGGTGAACATTTTAACGGACATATTTTGAACATGTGTGAATCTCTGTTTAAATAACTCTAGTGTAGACAGATGGGTGCTTTCCATTCGTGAAACCATCTATAACTGCATGCTAGGACAGTTGGATGTTCTCAGCTCAGGAAACAGTGCTTCTGAAATACCCTTGAGAGCTGCCTGTAATTTCAGTCTTTCCTTTTAGGCAGGCCTTCCACAGCCTGTTTTGCTGTACCTTGCAGTGTTCCATGTTCTACCTTTTTCACTCATAGGGATTCTGGAGATCAACAAAAAGGTAAGCGCTCATTTCTGATTTAATTATTTGTTTAGTAGGTGTGATTAGAAATGTTCCCCTGACTATAAAAAGCTTGCTGACCTAGTTTATTTTATTTCAAAATATATGAGAACATTGAACATGGGAAGAGAGCCTAATCATTCTTTCATCTTTCTGCATGCTCTTGTGTCTCTCATGGGGAGAGTGTTGAATGGTGGTCATTAACAAACCACTATTTTATAAAATTATGAAATGAGTAAGGTATTTTTCCAGAAGACTATTCCCAAGTTTATTAAAATTATCATTAAATAAAGGTGAAAAGCTGTAACAAAAAGCCTCATTTTAATTGCAAACTATAGATCTAAAACTTATGATATATAAACAAGTCTTATAATTAAATATGTACATTTCCAGCTCATTAAGTTTTATGTTTTATTGTTATTGCCATTCTTATTGGTATGTGGGTGGTTATATGGGAGGAAAGAAGGACAAATTTCCTTTGACTAAAAGGACCAATACCCTCCCAAAATGCTTCATTTTTATTGCAAAGTATAGATCTAAAACTTATGATATATAAACAAGTCTTATAATTAAATATGTACATTTCCAAGTCATTAAGTTTTATGTTTTACTGTTATTGCCATTCTTATTGGTTTGTGGGTAGTTATATGAGAGGAAAGAAGGACAAATTTCCTTTGAGTAAAAGAATCAATAGCCTCCCACTTTCTTTTAAAAAATTGTTACTTATTCTAAGTGAATAGTTATTTGTTGGTCTGTTCTACTAGTCTTTTTGTTGTTGTTAATCCTCACCCGAGGATATTTTTTCCGTTGATTGTTAGAGAGAGTGGAAGGGAAAGGGAGAGACAGAGAGAGAGAATCATTGATGTGAGAGAGACACATCCATTGGTTGCCTCCTGTGCCCCAACCAGGGCCCGGGGTTGAACCTGCAAGCGAGGTGCATGCCCTTAACTGGAACTGAACCCAGGACCCTTCAGTCCACAGGCCGATGCTCTAGCTACTGAGCCAAACCAGCGAGGGCCTTTTCTAGTCTCTAATTAAGCACCTAAAGTATTATAGAGAACATATCTTGATAGTCCACTAGTATTCATTAGCAAACAAGATGAATGTATTTTTTAAAAGTTGATATTATATAAGCATAATATACTAAATTGCATAAAGGCTGAAGAATAATAGTTATTTATTAATTGTTTTGTATCAGGCACTTTGAGCATTTTATGACATTATAACATAATGTATTCAAGTACGAAGTTAAGCAGGCAATAAATGGAGGAACTGGAATTTTAAACTAAATTTGACTCCAAATTACAAACCAAATTTTAAGATAGAGTGGCTATTTTATTATAGCACTCAATAACTGAAACTATGTTTGTATTACGCAAACATAGTGGGGACCCAGGGTCAGTGAAAAAAAAGTCATGAGCTAGTTAAGATCAAAGCAAACTATAATTTACCTTCTAAGAGATAACCAAAACACACAACTCATGAACATAATTGTCCTCCTTGTGCTTGTAGATTGTCTATTCTAATTATAGCCTACTGCAGGAATGAACACATAATGAAGTCATAAATTGTTTCTATTTATTCTCATTTGGCTAAGATTATCATATGAGGAATATGGTTTCAATATGCTGACTTGGAATTAAAGTATATCTTTCACTTATCATGCATGATCAGGTTACCCAGGGTCCAGACTGGAATGTACTTTAAGCTATTTATTGGGGTGGTAAATCTTTACTAAGTAACTTGTCTTGAGTAGAAATAGAAACCCATTTTCACTTAATTTCTATTCTTTTATTGCTCTAAATATTTGTCTATGTTGGCTTTTGTTAAATATTAAAATAAGCATAGGATCTATGGAGAATCATGACCAAGTCCACTGCACAGAAACAGAAAGGGAGCAATGAACCAAAGTCTTACTTGAATTATTAGATTAATAATAATTAATTAATTATTATTAGTTAATCGGTGGTTAGTCTTTAACTTGTTTGGTTTTTACATGACTAAAAAATTAAACACTATCAAAGATTTAAAGAACAAGGTAATGATAAAGATCTGGAGCTGGCTGTTTCTTATTAGAATTACTTTTTAGATCCAATCTCACCCCCTCCAATTAGCTAAAAAAATTAAGTCTCTTTATAAATAACATTCTAGCACAAAGAACAGGTCCCTGGCAGGCTATGCATGGTAGAGTAAATATTTTTTTAGAATTAGATGGATTGATGTAAAGCTGTATCCATGAGGAATACAATTTGTCATTAAAAGATATTGACAAAACTGAAGCAAATGGATGAAGCAGATGAATGCTACTGCATCTCCCATTAGTGCTTCAGTGTGAGATTCCAATGGCTTACCACTCATCCCTACTAACACCTTAATTTCAAGTTTCTAAGTTATAATTATCTTATGATGTGAGGCAGCAGTATTGTAGTGGTAGCCTGAATATTAAGCAAATGCATAAACCACTGTGAACACTCAGAGGATTGGCCTTCTGGTCTTTTCTCAGGTGATATCTACCTTTTCCTTCAGATTTTCGGGAACGTTACAGATGCTACCTTATCTCATGGAATACTGATTGTGATGTACGGCTCAGGACTGGTCAGACTCTATAGCTTCCAAGCCATCACTGAACAGGTAGAGAAAACCAGAATTTGCCTATTATAATTAACTTGAGATTTGGACTGAAGTATGGTGTTTTTAATGAGATGCTTTTAAAGTAAGACACTTGTGGAAATTTCTACTCTACAAAAATTCAGGAAATGCAGAAAGACAAAATAACCTTTAATAGAGGGGTGGGAAGATAAACATAAAAGCCCTAAATAAATAAAGACATTTTATGTCATATACATGTGAATTTGAATTTTTCTCTCTCCAGACAGCAATAAGTAGGTGCTAAAGACACCATTTTTGTTTTGTTTTGTTTTTAGTTCATGCAACAGAAACTTGACTTAGGGTGTGCATGCAGATGGGGTGGGACTGCTGGAACTGTGGGAGAGGCTCCTTTTGGCATTCCTTGTAATATTAAACTCACAGGTATGGCTACTATATAGTATTTTTTCACCTTTAAAAATAAGTAGTCGTGTAAATTATTAATTGTAATCACCCAAGTGTTTTTCTTATAATTTAATTACAAACTCAACTCATTTTACTCTCATACAGCATGCTCCTTGCTATTGAATACATGTCAAGAAAAATCTATCATTCATTCATTGAACTGCAGGCTTGGAGATGCTGAGCCTTGCTTGGCCAGAGATCAATGACCTTTGGCAAGTCACTTAACCTCTCTAGTCTGGATTTCCTTATCTGCAAAATGATGAATTGCAGCAAATGTTACTTGCTATTTTGCAATTCTACAATTTTACCTACTTCTAAGAAAGATATTTTCTAAGGAAAATATAATTGCCATTCTATCTGAATATAGAGCTTAGACACAGAGAGAACCCCCTAGTATACTTAATGGTTGAGAAAGCACAAAAAATAAAATTATATTAAATTTTATAAATATGATAAAAATGTTCTCTATTTAACCAGCTTATCAAATTCAGCACTTTAATAAAAAAGAAATTAAATATTACTCAGATTCAGCAGTGTATGTTAAAAGAAATAAACCATGACTACCAGAGTTCATCTTGGGAATACAAGGATGTGATTTAATATTTGGAAAGAGATATTAAAATCACATGAGTAAACTTAAAAATAATATATACATATATTTTTTTAAAATATATATTTTATTGATTTTTTACAGAGAGGAAGGGAGAGAGATAGAGAGTTAGAAACATTGATGAGAGAGAAACATCGATCAGCTGCCTCCTGCATATCTCCCACTGGGGATGTGCCCGCAACCCAGGTACATGCCCTTGACCAGAATCGAACCTGGGACCTTTCAGTCCGCAGGCCGATCGGCCAGGCAAAGCAGTTTATTTTTACTACAGAAAAAATAGAAAATGATATTAAATGAAATAGAGAAAATGTAAACACTGATAGTTCTCCCGTATGGCGATAACTGTCACCTATGTATAGTAGTAAATTGTGCTTATGAAGAGGCCTAATAAAGCACACATTTCTATAATAACATGATAAGCGTCTTTACTGACAGTGGTGGCCTCATAAACCAAAGATTAAACTCTCAAGTAAAAGGCTAAACAAAGGAATCATAGGTGAGCCACTTGCTCAAAGAGACCATGTGGTGCTTCACAGGCTGCCCAGAAGGAATTCTGATCTTCTAAAGATGCCGTGCCTTCCACTTATGTATTTCTGTAAGAGTAAATCCGTTACCTCTACCTAAAATTAATTGTCATGGAAGACGACTAAGAAACACCAACAGATATGGGCATCCCTGAGAGATACTGTGAGTTCAGTTCTAGACCATCACAATAAAGCAAGCACAGGCATACCTCAGAGATATTGTGAGTCCAGTTGCAGACCACCATATCAAAGCAAGTATCACAATAAAGTGAGTCAGAATCTTTTGCTGGTGGAGGTTATTGCCTTCAGTTTATAAAAAATGCAGCACCTATGAAGCACCATAAAGCAACATGCAATAAAACGAGGTATGCTTTTATTTCTCATATGATGCCAATCTCCAAAAGCCAGTGACTGACTAGATGTACCTAAACTCCCTTAAAGTTAAGTTGTCTAATAATAATATAGTACTGGCTACCCTTTAATAAAGCTCCCATTGTGACGGGGCCTATCCTAACTGCTTACATTCACTGTGACTAAGGTCGCTTCCACACAAGGACTGCTCTTCTAAAGTTTGGCCAGTTTAACCTGTTAGTCTAGATTACAGAAGATGTCTTCCTCACAGTGAAGGAATTATTAGACCGAATCATCTTGCAGGATTGTTATGAGAGTTGGAAATGGTCTCTAACCCAGTCTCGTACACGGCAGATGCGTCGTCGTAAATGGCAGCTGCTTTTATTGGCTGTACTTTGTCATTTTTCCCTCATAAGCACCTTCAGCCCACTTTTATCTCCAGTCAACTACAGGTCACACTTACCCCGAAAACAGATGTCTAGACGGTTGACTCATAGCCTAACATTGGTTTTCTACCAGCTTTCTCTTTTCTTAGCAATAAGCCTGTTTTCTGATTGTTTTTTATTTTCTTGAACACAGTGATTTTTTATTAATGGAGACTCATAGATGATGCATGCAAAGAAAGTTTGAACTCAGTTAATGAATGTTCCAAAGCTACCAGAACAGAGAAAGCTAATAAATTCCTTTTGCCCATGTCTACAGACACGCCACCACCGCTCTTTGAGGTGTCCTCCCTGGAGAATGCCTTTCAGATTGGAGGCCACCCTTGGCACTACATCATCACACCTAATAAGAAGAAACAGAAGGGAGTTTTCCATATTTGTGCCCTTAAAGACAACTCCTTGGTAAATCATGAGTGATCAGACCTTTCAGTAGTAAATTCGTATCAGAAATTCTTTTTTCTCTGCTTCTCTAATAAGTTCATGTTCCTGAGTTACTTTTTGTTTGTATTAATTTGTGAATAATGTGTAGTACTGAGGATTACAAAGAATACAGCAAAAGCTTGTGTGTCCTACCTGGAATTTAAAAACATTAACATTTGAAAATTCTTAGGGTACCAGAGATTACTTAGGTGTTTTTTCTTACCAGTCTCCCAGCAGGGGAACCCATGCAAATCATCTCTGAAAGCTTCATGGTGGGAATCAATGAAATATGTTCAGGCTGCCTCTGAAATTGCTGGTGGAATGTGTTGTTGGTTCTGCTTTTTCATGGTTTGTTGCTTTCCAGAACAGAACCAGGTAAAATTCTAGTGTTCACAATGTAAGCCATGAAACACTTTGACCTTTCAAGGCTATTCTTAAATTATTTATGGCAAAATAGGAAGAAATGGTACATGGTAAGACAAAAGAAATTTCTATCCATTAAATCTATTTTTCTTCATTTAAAAAGTGATTTTAGGCATTGATTTATCAATTAATAAATATCATTGAGGGCCAACTGTGTGCCAGATATGGCTGGGACACATTTCCTTCCCTCAAGTTGCTTACACTCTCAAAAACACACACAAATATGTAGATAAATTAGATGCTGTCTGTTAAGTACAGTGATTGAGGTAAGTGCAAAAGAATGAGTGTACATTCCATATTTGTTTTGTATTTCTGGTTTAGTTTTATTTATTTCTGGAATCTCTTGATAAATCAAATGAACTTTTCTGAGGCAGACTCAGCTTATTCCAACCATGTCTTTCAGGATCTTGGTCAGTTGCTGTGGGACCCAGAGCCTTTTAGAGTACAGGTCACCTTTTACCATGCTGAAGATCAGCACAGTCTTGGGTTCATTTATCTGTTTCTCTTGTTGTGGCCAGCAGGGAACACTGTGTACAGTGTCTTCTGGTTTTCTTTTTGCAGGATTATGGTTCCCTCTGTTTTTCATTTACGTACCTCATATAACAGCTCCTGTTTGGTCCCGCCCAGTGATATCCTCTCTTGCGATGCACTCTTGAGGGGCTGTTTGCTGCCATGACAAGTCTGGTTTGATTGTTCACCTCCCAAGCAGAGGACATCCTTCAGCTGACAGGACCTCGCGTATCTCTTTTTTACTTAACTTTTTCTTCCAGCCCAACTTTACACAGTTCACATTGTGGATATTTAGTACATACTCTTCTTACATAAGAACTGATAATACATATTCTTTCGTGTGTGTAAAATGGCTTTCAATATCCATATTAAGCATGTCTGGCATGGGCTCTCCTTCTGTAATAATTGATTAAGATTATGTATTAAAATACAGATTTTAGTCAAATCTGTATTTTAATATATTCATAAATAATTGCCAAATCCAGGAGAAGTTTCAATCCTTTTGCTAGACAGCTTTATTGCAGTGACATAAGGATGCATATGCCCATTACCTTCCACCTGTCAGGAAGAGTAGATAATCCCAAAGCACATATGCCTCCAAACTGAAGAATTCAGTACATGTGTTGGAGCTTTCTATTAAACTGTGCTTTAAAATCTAGCATTTGAAATAAATAATAAATAAATAAATAAATAAATGAAATCTTGCATTTGAACAAATAAACACTACAAAGTTTGTAATACTGCATAGTGCTTAATACAGAGGGATGATGTTTCTTTTGTGTGTTATAGATATTATAATAAAGAGAATAATTTCCTAAAGAAAGATATGTATCGTATGTACATATTTTATATTGAAGGAGCATCTGGCGCTAATGCCATCATAGACACATTAATTTCAGTGGTTGCATCCAAGATGCTTAATTGCATTGATATTCTTATAAAATGTAATAATATCATCATTCCTATGAGGATATTTGTCAAATTCTGGAAAATTAAAACTCATTCTCTAACTTGATACATAAAATGTGTTAAATTCAAATTTTTAGAAAAGCATGGCATGTAAAGCACTTGTGACATAGCCCCAGCCTCCTGCTCCTGTCTCATGGCTGGACACTGTTTTCCTTAATTTAATTTTGGTTAGTTCTCGTGTTCATGCACATACACGCTAGGTAGGTGAATACTTCAGTGCTTTTGAATTTGCTCTCTTCTTGCTAGTCATTTTCTGCTCATCCTGGAAGTTTCAGTTTAAGCTTTTTTTCTTCCTGAAATTCTGCTCACCTGGGTTGAATGCTTGAGCACTTTGTTTTTTACGCTGCCTTATTATTCTCTGCCTCCGCTCTTGATTATGGCCTTCTTGATGGCAAGGATTACTGTATGTTCACGTCACGTTAAGTACAAACGCCTAGTGTGACACCTAAAACATAGCATGCTGTCAATATATCCTACTGGAATAAATTCACTAATATTTCACAAACTTTCATGAGTGTCAAATAGGAAAGATGGTATTATTTTATTTTAAATTGGAGAAATTAAAGAATTTAAGTGACTTAGATAAAGCTAGTGAAGTTAATGTACTAGTATTCATGCTGATAATGGTTCCCAGTGCTCTTGTGTATAAAGCAAAACACATATATGTGCATATGTGATAACATATCATGGAGGTGATTTTAATGTCTAAATAGATTGCTGTGAAATAAATGTCTCCACGGTCTTAAAGGCTAAGCAGTATTAGACCATTTCCTCAGCAGTGAAGTTCAATATCTGGCTTATCCAAGGAGATCATATGACCTGAGATTTTAGGTTTGGTTACGTGTTTATTTTCATGTATCCACTCTTCTGAGTGACGGTTTGTTAGGGATGGGGAAGGGAGGGAACCGTATGAGCATAATTATGGCAAGGTTATAGAATGGAAAGTCCATGGACTTTGGAGTCAGATCTGCTGTTTAGTAGATGCTAAACATTGAGAAAATGATTTATACTCTTTGTTTTCTCACCCATAAAGTGGAGATAACAAAATATGCTTTGAATGTTGTAAGATCAAATGAACTAATGAGTGTAAAACATCTGATGCTGACACAAATTGGGTGTGCCTGAGATACGGCAACTAAGAGATTTTTTATGAGGCATAATATTTGGTACAGGGTAAATCTGTGAGATTCCTGAATATAAATATTTTAGATTTCTCAAGTTTGAGTGTCCTAATTCAGCCCTTATACACATCCCAGTTCAACTGGTTAATATTTTCTCTTCCTTGTACCTTTGACTTACTGATCTGTCACTGCTCTTAGATTTGAAAGAAAAAAAAAATCCTGTCTTTTAATCTTTAGTCTCAATATTTTTTCCCAACTTCAGGCTAAAAATGGGATCCAAGAAATGGAATGTTGTTCTCTAGAATCTGACTGGATCTATTTTCATCCTGATGCTTCTGGAAGAATAATACATGTTGGCCCAAATCAGGTCAAGTGAGTATTTTCATTAGTTATTTTAAAATTAAAAGTAGCTTTTGGTAGCATTTACTGGGATCTTTATTTTTGTACTAGCTAACTACTGAGCAAATTATGGAAATACTTAGCTGCCTATAGAGTACTTCCTCAGAGACTGACATCTGGAAAACCTGACTATTGCCTCAGCCTCATCATTACTGTTTATAAATATTATCTTTGAGTAAGTTCTTCGATGGATGATATAAAAGTAAAGAAGATGGCAGATTGGCTCATCCTCATCAGGTCTTAGTTCTCCAGGATTAATGAGAACAAAGATGACTTATCTTTGTTCTAAATAACAGCCTTACCATAGGAGAGGTAGCAGATTGTTTGAAGTAAACCGTGTTAACCCACATCTTCCAAGAGTTGTCCTCTCCTTCCTTGAAACCCTCATTTGGCTTCTCTGACACAGTTCTTCCGTGTTAACCCACATCTTCCAAGAGTTGTCCTCGCCTTCCTTGAAACCCTCTTCATTTGGCTTCTCTGACACAGTTCTCCTAAATGTGTCCCCCTCTCTGTGATCTGCCCTTCTCAGTATACGTCATGCTCCTCTACTCAAACTTTGTTAGAAGTCCTCAGGACTTGGTCTTCTCACTCTTTTTCTCTCTCTCTCTCTCTGTCAGTGCAGTTTATTTTGCTACTAAATATTTCTTCAATCTGCCACTTTCTGCCCTTGGCCACTGTCATCATCTTGGCCAGACCATTGTCATCACTGGCCTGGACCGTAATAATTTAATAGTGTACTTACAGAACTCCAAAAATCCGTTTTTGCATTTTTTAAGTCTGTTTTCTTCTCAGCAGCTAAGAGTGATTTTTAGAAACATTAACAAACACAAAAACCTGACCATGTGAATTCTGCTTCAACCTTTTTATGGCTTCTTGTTGCTCTTGGCATGGTCTGAAAGACCCTCCTCTGACTCAGTTTACTTCAGTCATCCTCTTTTCAGAAAGGTGAGGATGTATCCTCTGTTTTGAGTCTGCTTTCCTGAGCTATTCTTCTATCTAATATCTGTTCATATTTAATGCCTGAGCTTAACTGTCCCTTTTCCACAGAGTCCTTTCCTGAAACCTTTGTTAGATTAGCTCCTCGTCTTCGTTTCATTGCACCAGCTATGTAATCTTCCTCTGTAGCACTTAGAGCAATTTTAACTAATTATTTGTGTGAACATCTGTTTCAAATCTAGACTTGGAATCATGAGCTCCATAAATACAGGGAATGTGGGGAAAAAAATGTATTTGTAATCAGTAAGAGTATTTTTCTGACTCCTCTAATCCTAGCACTGAGCACAGTGCTTAGCCCAGACTAAGGTGCTCAGTGAGTGTTCGTGAGTAAGAAGGGAGTGTCTACTCCACGTTAATTAGTCTACTTCTCTGGACTGAGTATAAGGAGGATGACTGGTCTTAATGAAATACGATTGTGAACTTTTACAAAAAGTTATAAAAACTGGCTCAGCTTTTGTAAACCTTACTTTTAATGTTTGTTACCACCCATCTCTTAATATTAGTTTGAGTTATTTTTCTAAAATATATTTTATTGATTTTTTACAGAGAGGAAGGGAGAAGGGTAAAGAGGTAGAAGCATCGATGAGAGAGAAACATCCATCAGCTGCCTCCTGCAGACCCCCTACTGGGGATGTGCCCACAACCAAGGTACATGCCCTTGACCAGAATCAAACCCAGGACCTTTCAGTCCACAGGCTGATGCTCTATCCACTGAGCCAAACCAGTTAGGGCAGTTTAAGAAAATAAAGTCCTGCTCTAACCAGTGTGGCTCAGCGGATAGAGCATCGGCCTGTGGACTGAAGGGTCCCGGGTTCAATTCCGGTCAAGGACATGTACCTTAGTTGCAGGCACATCCCCAGTGGGGGGTGTGCAAGAGGCAGCTGATCGATGTTTCTCTCTCATCAATGTTTCTACCTCTTTATCCCTCTCCTTTCCTCTCTGTTAAAAATCAATAAAATATGTTTAAAAAAAAAAGAAAGAAAGAAAATAAAGTCCACAGAGAGTATGTGCCCTTTTGCCAGGTTTTAATAGATAGGCACTATACAATATCTGCACTAATTAAGATAGCTAATTGGGTAATTTAAAATTAATCTGATTTCTTTATATCTGGCAAACTCTAAGGCCTCCTGGCCACAGTAGCTGCTTCTCCCTGCTGCTCTCTTTGCCTGCACTTGAGACTTTAAGCTTTGAAAATATTGTGCTTTTGAAGCCTGTTAGTGCTGTGAACAGATTTGTGTGGGCAGTGAGCAAATTATTTTATTTTCCCTTGATCCAAGGAAACCACTCAGAAAACCCAAATCTTTAAATATAATCTTAAGAAAAAAGAAAAGTATTGAGTCATTTGCAGTTCTTAAATATTACTTTCATGAAAACTCTTAGTTCAAGCATGGTTGATAATCCAGTCTGTCTTATAATTAACGTCAAGTGTTGTTCATTGATATCTCATTTTATCTTCAGAAATAAAAATGCAAATTATCTACAGGCATACCTCAGAGATATTGCGTGTTCGGTTCCAGACAACAGCAATAAAGCAAGTATTGCAATAAAGTGAACCTTAATCTTTTTGCTGGTGGAGGGTCTTGCCTTCAGTTTGTAAAAAAAAACCAAAAAAACAACATCTGCGAAGAGCAATAAAACGAGGTATGCCTGTACTGTAATGCCATTGTTAAAGTCAAAACGTTAAAGACCTGTTCAGGATGGCAGAGATGAGGTTTTTTTTAAAGTAACTTTCATTAAGCCAGTTTGGAAGATGGCTTAAGACTGAGCATGCTACTTCATTACCTACCTCAGTAGCACTTGTCATCATTCCTACATTTTTCTGTTTAACAAGATACCTGAATTTGAAAGAATTTATGGACACGTAAATAAATGGACATTAATATTTCAGAAAATCAGGAGAGGAGAACTAACTCAGTGTTGTTACTATAATTTTCATTTGCTGCGTTTCACTAGTTCAACTTTGGCATTTTGATGGTGAGTTGAAATCTTAGGTTCTTAGAATCCTTTTTTCTCTTTTCAGAGTTTTAAAGCTAAATGAAATAGAAAATACTAGTGGCCAGCATCAGATCTCTGAAGATTTTGTCATACTGGCCAACAGAGAGAACAAGGTAAGTCAGGAGTACTTTAAAATCTGTGTGTATCACGGTCTTTCTGTATAGGAATAGAATAGTGCAGATGTGTTTGCCCTTCAGCATGACTGACAAGAACAGCACAAGTTTATAAAAGTCTGTTCACTTTGTCTATGTGGCTAGCTGGTCTTGACCCCATGTACATAGGAGATCTGGAGAGAATTGATTATATTGAGTATGTTTTAAAATATATTTTTATTGATTTCAGAGAAGAAGGGAGAGGTAGAGAGAGAGAGAAACATCAATGATGAGAGAGAATCATTGATCAGCTGCCTCCTGCACGTCCCCTAATGGGGATGGAGCCTGCAACCTGGGCATGTGCCCTTGACCAGAATCAAATCTGGGACCCTTCAATCCATAGTCCAACCCTCTATCCACTGAACCGAACCAGCCAGGACTATATTGAGTATTTTTTGCTTATTTCTATTTCCTTTCGGGGTTTCTCTTTAAGTTTTTATTGATGAGTTATCAACCTTTGGGTTTAATTCATTGCTTTGACTCCATTGGTTCTTTTCCTTTAGCATACAAATTAAGAATATGAAGGAAATCATACAGAGGGAAATTTCCAAAAGCAGATCCACTCTATTGCTGTACTCTGTACTAAAGCAGAGTCTGAAGGGCGAGTGAAGTAGCGAATCTGTAATCTTCGTATTTACTTTTGCCTATTTTAGTGTTTTATCCATGAAAAGCTTTACAGTAACAAGTATTTTTATTAAATGGAGGATCAAAAAGCTGATTCAGAATTTTATTAGTTGAGGAAAGAATTATGGATGTTGGAGAAGGGTTGGTTAGTTTTACCACATTTGCTAATTAATTTTGTTATTAACTGCATATACTAGGACTTGTCACATCTTTTTTCTCTCTCCATCTGATAGAATGAAAACTTACCCACTGTTACTGCATCTGGACGGGTGGTTAAAAAAAAATTTAATCTTCTGGATGATGACCCAGAACAAGAGGTATTACTCTAGCCAGAGACAACAAACCAAACTAGTATGTACTTGCCCTATGGGTTTTAAATTATTTTGGCCAAAGGGACCCTAGGGTAGAGATTGAGGGTGAGTTCCATGCAGGCTTAGTCTGTAAGACTGTGCATACTATTTCAACCAGTGCTTTCCCATTACCCTCTCTTTTCAGATTGGAATTATTCATAAGGTTTTATTTGCAGAAAGGTTCATAGGACTGAAATAACTTGAAAATACCATTAGCTTATTGTTTTGTTGTGTTAATGTGGACACTTTAGCAGTGGTTCTCAACCTTCTGGCCCTTTAGATACAGTACCTCATGTTGTGACCCAACCATAAAATTATTTTTGTTGCTACTTCACAACTGTAATGTTGCTACTATTATGAATCATAATATAAATATCTGATATGCAGGATGGTCTTAGGCGACCCCTGTGAAAGGGTCGTTCGACCGCCAAAGGGGTCGTGACCCACAGGTTGAGAACCGCTGCTTTAGAGGGAAATCTCTTAGAAAAGTCTTGAGTTTTCTCCTTCTGACTTTATGGCTTTAACCTTATTTTTTTTACCTACTAGACATGGATATGTTTGTTTATGTTCATGGGCCAGGAAAGAGGGGTCGTAAATCAGTTCAGCCTTTGGCCTCGACTTGACATTACTAGTCACTGAGCTAATACATTTTTATTCTTTTTAAATTATTGTTTTTATTGATTTCAGAGAGAGAGGAAGGGAAAGGGATAGATTTTATCAATGAAAGAAACATCACCAATCAGCTGCCTCCTGTATGCCCCTACCTGGGACTAAGCCTGCAACCAGGGCATGTGCCCTGACTGGGAATCAAACCAGTGACCTCTTGATTCATGGGTTGACACTCAATCAATGAGCCACACCAGTGGGCTATCCTTTTCTTTTAAAGAGGCATTGGAAGGACTTTTGAAATCAACTGACAATTACCATGCTGCAAATATAAAACCAATGCATGAATACTAAATCCATTTAGACCATAGAACTATATTATTTGTGTACTATTTCTAGGTAGAAATATTAGAATAACCTTCTAAGGATAGTTTTTGAAAAATCTTAAAAATAGGTTAGAGTTGGCCCAGTATGTGGCTACTGTCAAAAGGAAAGAATATATATTTATTCTTTTGAACCAAGGAAATCTGTTGAGAACAAAGCAGAAAGCTCCCTATCCTGTATAAAAAACTGTATTCAAGAAAGACATACCAAAACTACCCAAAGGTAGCAAGAATAATTAAGAGGGAAGGAGGTAGTTGCAAAGAGGGCTACTCTACATCATGAAATCAGAAAACAAAAACTTTTAGCCTGGAAAAGGAAAATTGAAAGGGATTGTGATTAACATCTATAAAAGCACATCCAAACTTTGAAGTTTGACCAAGTTTAGATCAATGCAAAAAAGTAAATGAAAAGGAACCACAGATAATAAATCTATGTAAATTTGTATGTCATAAGTGGTAAAGGTAGAAAATATAAATGGGTTAACAAGCAGTTTGACCAAATGTAAGTGGAGGATTTTCATGTGGTGATTAAGAGAAATTTGCTGTGCCTGCCAGGACATGTCTCTCTGGTCCATCCCTGATGGGTGAGCATGGATCTGCTTCCCAGTGAGGCTGTTGGAGTCCCAGGTTTTCCTCCCTGGGTTCGGGAGTTAGGTTTTCCTCCCTTGAGTCTTTACCATCTTTAATCTAACCTGTATCTCTTATCCTACTCCTGTTTTGTGGGTTAAATTTCAATTCTAAATATCCTTCCTCAAGTTTAAGCAGCAATTTTGTTGTTTGTTTTCTTTAAGGAACTAAGAAGGGTTTAAAAAAAAAAAGTATGCCAAATAGAATCCTAAATAGTATATGATGGGCCATCAATTCTTCTTGAAATGACTTGTTTTTTTCTGTCATAAGAACCTTCCAAGCACAGTGGGCAGTCTTCAGGTTGCAGAACTGGGCTCTATATATTTGGTTGTTTCTGGGAACCAGATATTCAGAGACAGCAGTTGAATATCTCTTTTGAATTTGGAGAAGCTCTGGTTTGCTCATAATAGAGAATTTCAGTTATAGTTTGGCTGAGATGTACATAGACTTGGTTCTGTTTGTCAAAATCTGTGGGATACTGTTTAAGTCTTGAAAATTTTGAAACTGGTATTTTACTAGGCATATAAGTAGAGACACCTTCCCCCCTATGTTCCCACCCACTCATTCTTTTTTCTGCATTATTTTCATAAGTAGTAGAATAGTTAAACTACATATGTAGAGATACCCTAACTGGATAACTGGATTTGTTCTTCTTTTCCTTTGCCTTATCCATCTATTCCCCAAGACTTTCAAAATTGTGGACTATGAAGATGAATTGGATTTGCTTTCTGTGGTAGCTGTTACTCAAATAGATGCCGAAGGAAAAGCTCACCTTGATTTCCACTGCAATGAATATGGAACTTTACTTAAAAGCATTCCACTGGTGGAGTCATGGGATGTGGTGAGTAGCGTTCATGCAATACAAAGTTGTAAGGGTTCCCTTTAGAGGTGGCATTTATTGAAACAGATGTTTCTATGTCTGTGTCAGTCCAAGTTCACCTAGACCAATGACCACATGAAAGAGGTTACTGGACTACATGTAGGACAAAATGAGTACTTCTTAAGACTTCCTCCCCTAGGGAGTAGAGGATGTCACCTTACCAGTGACCTTAAAGATAAAACTTTATCTTTTTTTTCCAGGACATGCTGACTATTTCCTTATCATAGTCCTTGGTTTTCTCTCATTTTGAAAGTTTGTTAATATTTTAAAAAATAAAAGTTTACAGTTATTTAATAGAGACCATATCTAAGAATGTAGTGTTTCCAGGCACTCTTAGAAGCATTTGTCTATTCTTCTGAGTATTATAGAACATAAAAGCTATAAGAAATAGCTTATCCAATTCTTGTTTTATCAGTGGAGAACCTGAGAGGTTTAGCAATTTGTCCACCAAAACATGGTGAAGTAGTTGCAGTTTTGGCAATAAAATCTGGCTGTTCAGACTCCTAAGTTCAGGGCTCTTTCCATTCTTAGCATTTTGTGTCATGCTTTTCTCTTAAGTCAGTGGCCGGCAAACTCATTAGTCACCAGAGCCAAATACCAACAGTATAACTATTGAAATTTCTTCTGAGAGCCAAATTTTTTAAACTTAAACTATATAGGTAGGTACATTGTTATTATCTTAATCAGGGTACTCCTAAGGCTTAGGAAGAGCCACACTCAAGGGTCCAAAGAGCTGCATGTGGCTCGTGAGCCGCGGTTTGCCGACCACTGTTGTAAGTAATCTGCATATCCACAAATAATGAAAAATAAACCTTTTATGACAACTATTTTGCCTCCAAATGTGTATTTGAAGATCCCTGGCATAGGTGCTGTGACATTTTAGGGACAAGTGGTCAATATGGTTCTATTCTAAATAGTGAAGGGGAGATTGCATTTGACTGTGTTTTCATTGCAGACATACAGCCACGAAGTCTACTTTGACAGAGACTTGGTCCTACACATAGAGCAGAAACCCAGCAGGGTCTTTAGCTGCTATGTTTACCAGATGGTGTGTGACCCTGGGGAAGAAGAAGAAGCCACAAACAGAAATTGAGAAAAAGAGTGAGAAAATTTTTAATTTTGAGATGTAACTTATGAGACTTTTAGCCAAACACCCCAACAACTGTGTCCAGTCCTCCTTTTTTATTATTCGAATAGCAAGTTCTCCATTAGATCTTGTGTTAACTCCAGATGACTGTGACTTCTCTTTTAAACTCTTACCATATAAGGTGGTGAGAACTTCATTTTATGTAAGGGATTTTTAGAATATTCTCCCAAGAAGTCTAGCATTTTAGAGATGTTAGCCAGGTGGTGTTGAAAACATAAAATGTTTAGAACAGCTTAATTTTAATCATTGGGGAGAAGGTCATTGGTGAGGAGGTGTTTAACGTGGCTCTTAAAGGATAGTATGGAATTTTGATTGGTAATACTAGGAGGGAAAGATAAAAAGATACAAAAGATAAAGAAAGAAATCCTGTGTCCTCTGTACCATATTTTGCTTAAGGATGAGAAATGAGATCTGTAATGTGAAAGCATACTTTTGAACCAAAGATGTGTCATCACAGTTAAAAAGAAAACCTTATATATGTATCTCTGTTTTGTATTTGTACTAATTATTTTCTCTTCCATGGTTTTATTCTCGTGGCTTGATGTTCTCATTGATTATTTGTTTTTCTATCATAGACTAATGTAAATGATTCTGAGCAAACTTTAAGTGAATTTTTTTCTAATATGTAGCCTGTTAGCTCTTAATTGTTAAGAATGTTGTACTCATTTCACCATTCGATCTAGTTGGTGGGTCCTCCAGTTTTGCTTGGGCAATACAGTAAGGTAAAGTTATTCTGGGTTGTACCAGTTTTGCTCTCTGTAGAAGGGTAGGTGGTTCCGGGAGTAACTTGGGAACTAACTGCTTAGGTAGAAAAGACTTTTGGTTTTATCTTACTTGTGAAATGAGTATTTTTTCTTATTTGTTAAAATTGATCTAAATATGATCCTTGAAATCAGATAGTCATTCTTTAGAATGTTAAATAAATGCAACCTAAGTAAAAGGAGAAAGTATTTTTGTGTGCTTCCTGTCTGGGAAATCCAGTTGTTTGCAGTGCACATGTTCCATACATTTCTCTGATTCAGCCTCAAAAAAATAACTACTAAAAAAAAAGGTGGGGTGGGGGGAATAGCAGTAAAAATCATTGCTGATTCCTATTAAGGTTAAAATAAGGAAGTTTAGCTTGGATGATTTACATAAAAACTCTTCAGTTGTAGCTTGAACCCATGTTAAGAATGATGTAAATTCTGCCCTGTTCTGCCCTTGAAGCTTGCAGAGAAATTTCAACCTTATTATAACCAACAGGGCTGAGGAGAGAGACGTATTAGCTATTCTAAAAGTCAGGAAATTAGTGGCAGAGTCCATCAACTTACAGCAATAAAGGGAGTAGACATAAAACTGTCTTTTGTGCAACAGAAAAGAAGATGGGTAACATTTTAGAAAAAGGGAAAATACTTATATGTGGGCTAAAAATATGATCTTTCTGAATCTGATCCTACGTATTACAACCATTTGGGAAAGCAGAAGTGATTACCTCAGGAGCAAGATGATAAAACTATCTTCATATATGAAATGTGAATACTTTTATATCCACTAATTGAAAAATTCATTCTCATTTTATGCACATTTAATAGAACTATTTAATTTAATATTTGAAGCTTTCAGAGCATTTTAGAGACATGATGTGATTACAAGTGGTTGAATAGTTGCCATTGGTGGATATAGCCCCAAACTTCTAGTTAGACACGAGGTAAATGGCCCTCCCAGTTCCTTTCAATCTGGAAAAGGGGGAATAGATTAAAATACCAGGGAAAAGAAAGAGAGCAGTGCTGTGTGGGTTTCAAGGCAAATATAGTTATAAAACCTAATCTGTGTTTCCGGGAGTGTCAGAAAAGAATGTCCTAAGACTTGATTCCTGTTAGATTTTTTCCAAAAGAGGTTTGTTGAGTTTCTCCTTCTCCTTTAAGTTATTGCCTCCTTTTGATAAAGTGCTAGAAAGGATCCCATGTACTCATACAGGCATCTGACCACCAAGATTACTGTCATTTTTTAAAAGGGTCCATGAAATGGTACTGCCGTCCTGTTTTGGTGCGTATGGGGGTGTGCTTCTAGTCTAGATCTGAACCGACCACTAAGAACCTCCTACTATCTCACCACTGCCCAGATCGAACCAGACCGAGATCCAAGTGCACATGGGCCCGGCAGGAAATGCACCTCGTGTGAAAGACAGTAGGGAACTGTGGGCCATGTAGCAAACGGAAGGGCTGTGCCCAATTGCAGGACAAGGACAAGCTGCTACGACTTAGTTTCAGGCACTTACAGCATTGTGTGGAAATGTGGGCTGCATGATGGGTAACAGGATGGTTGATAAAAAGATGGCAAAAGGTACACAAGATAGCAAAGAATATGGAAATTTACAGATAACACACATACCTGGAGATAATATAGTAAGCTTCCCGAAAAGTAGGGGCTTCCCAGCTCCCCCCAGTGGCATACAGTTGCTCATTCTGCCACCTGCCAGGTGTGAGTCTGTTATCCTCTTGGGGGTGAAGAGAAGTTGTGGTTAATAGCCTCCTGCCCCACCGTAACCCTCCTCTCTACCTTAATGTGTTAGAGACGTTCGCTGTGTGCCCACCTACTTAAACAGGTGCTAGTGCCAGGCGTAAAACATAATGGGGTGACATTTCTGAGTGTTTAATTCAAGACTGGGTGAAGCAGGGTAGCTTCTTTCAGCAAGTCCAGATATTAAGCTGATAAGAGGTACATTTCTGCATTTCACTCCTTGATCTCAGGTTCTGTATACTCTCATAATATCGATGCAATAAGATTATTTCCAGTGACCTTCTAAAACATTTCTGGGACAAAACAAAAGAAATCTTATTATGGTTATTTGAACTACCTAGTGAGGAAATCATATTGCTTTATTTAAACAAATTAAGGTGCCCCACATCCTTCCACCAGTTGTTTTGTGTCCTGTACATACTCTTTTTTTTTTTAAATATATTTTATTGATACAGAGACGAAGGGAGAGAGAGATAGTTAGAAACATCGATGGGAGAGAAACATCGATCAGCCGCCTCCTGCACATCTCCTACTGGGGATGTGCCCGCAACCCAGGCACATGCCCCCGACCGGAATCGAACCTGGGACCCCCCAGTCCGCAGGCCGACGCTCTATCCACCAAGCCAAACCGGTTTCGGCCTGTACATACTCTTAAAAAACTTGTAAGTTATAGTTATTGAATGCTTGCTGTCTACCATCATGGTGATGCATGTAAAAGGAGTTGTCTCAGCATTCAGAGTAACCATCTGAAGTGTGAACTACGTCATACAAATGAGGAAAATGACAATTGCAGAAGTTAATTTCTGCAAGGTCCTACAATGAGTAAGTGCAGAGATCGGAAAAACCCTGATTAGGTTGACAAAAACTTATGCCAGATTTCCTCCAAACCTCTTAAAAGGCTTTCCCCATCAAAATTTTCAAGCCTACAGCAAAGTTGACAGAATTTTATGGTAAATATCCAGATACCAACCACATGAATTCTACCTTTCACTCTACATCGTTATCTATCCATGCCACCTTTATGATTTACTTCAAAATAAATTGCAGACGTTGGTATACTTTTCCCTAATATAGTTCAACATGCATGTCATTAAATCGATTTAATATTGTTTAGTTTTTTTAAATTTTTTCTGTATATTTACATGCAATGAAGTACACAAATGTTAAGTATAAATTTGCTGAGTTTTTGCAAATGCATAGACCTGTGTAACCCAAACCCTTTACAAAACTCAGAACATTGCAGCCATCCCAGGAAGTTTCCTCCTGGCCCTTTCCAGGCAATCCACTCCACGTCCTACCAGGTGTAACTACTGTTCTGATTATTTTGCCTTATAGGTTAAATGTGCCTGTTCTAATATTTTACATAAATGCTATCATGCAAAGCATAATGCTTCTTTCACTCAGCGTGTTTTTGAGATTAAAGTTGCATGTGTCAGTGGTTCATTCCTTTTATTGCTGAGTATTCTTTTGCATGAATATATCACCATTTGTTTTTTCCATTTTCCTGTTTATGGGCACCCAGGCTGTTTCTACTTAAAAAAACAACACTGTGTATATATCTAAAAGCCTAAGCGACCGGTAGCTGTGATGCACAATGACGACCAGGGGCAGATGCTCAATGCAGGAGCTGCTGAGCTGTGGTAACTTGGCAGCTGTGGTTCTCAGGTGACGCACCCGGAACTAGGGAGGAGGGAGCCCGATTCCAGGGTGTGTCACCCGAGAACCGCCCTCTCGCCATCCGGGACCCCCCGGGGGATGTCAGAGAGCCGGTTTTGGCCTGATCCTTGCAGGCCAGGCCGAGGGACCCCACCTGTGCAC